TATACTTTGGCGCAAACTGCACGGGTCAGCAAGTTGTTCTCGCAACATGCCCTAGATATTCTCTGGAAGGAGATTCCGTCTGAACGCGCTGCACTCTATATCCTGCCTTCCTTCAAGGCCTATGAACCCATCTCGTCATATCCACACATGGAGACCTGGTGGTCCTCAGTGGCTGTGTCCAAACAATTGATATATGTACGCATCTCTCATCCGAAGTCATTTGGTATTCTGTGTGTACTAAAGCTCGTTATGAGCCAGTCTATCGGACGAGAGCCTACACTCGATGAACTGGATAGACTCCGTCAGTACACCGTGCGCGTGCGCAAGGTAGTATTGGCGGAGGATCATTGGGGCACACACAGCCAGATAATAAAGTATATCGTTGGGCTATTAGGTGAATCCCTCTTCCCCAACCTTGTGAGCCTGGTCTGGGAAAACTTCGAAGTCGCATGCAAGAGTATGGTTGAGATTTTGCCATGCGTAGCCACCGCGACACTGCGCCATCTCCAGCTCTGTCATCTCTTCTGGAGCCCGCAACAAGATGAATTTGAGCGAGTATTGCTGGCTGCTTCGTCCATTCTCGCCTCAAAATCACCTGATATTAGGCACGTCGAGCTTCAAGGAACTTCGTGGAACGTGTCATATGCAGCGCCATTGATTAGCTCGCTCAAGGCCCTTGACGTTCTCTCCCTCTATCCTCCCGTTCATCCTCAACAAGCCATCGCCCTGCTGGAGGCTGGCCATGACATGACCAGTCTCAGCCTCAATTTGCTTTCATACCACCCCACCGAAGCCTGGCCTTCCAGTCGAATATGCTTCCGTAATTTGCACAGATTGTGCATCACGGGGGACCCTCTTGTAGTCAGCCGCATCCTTAGAACATCCGAGTGGCCCGCCGTCAGGATTCTCAAAGCAATTATCACTCAAGCCAGCGGATCGTCACCTCCGCAGCCTGATGTGCTCCAATGCATCGAGAGCATTGCCCGAGCATTCTCAAACTCGCTGTGGCAAGTCTCCTTAGCGTATTTTGCAAGCCATGTGACACTCAAACAGATCCTCTGGCCGCTCCGTGATCTGCATCTTCTCCACGTTGTCGACATAAACTTACCTAGAATCCCGCCCTGTTCCTCCACTGACTTTCGCAAAGCTGGACTTGCCTGGCCAAAGCTGGAAGAATTCCACCTCACCGGTAATTGGGCGCCCGACTTTGACCAAGGCCTACAGGTCGTGCTCGAGCTAGCTTCCGCATGCCCGCAGCTCCTTATCATCAGTTTACCTGCGATGAGGCTCGTGCCTACTTCCGAGCTTAACACGTACAATTTGTGGTTACATGGCTTAGAGCATGTCTACTTCCATGGTCCGTCGAAGGACAAGCCATATAACGATGACTTTGGCCCAGATGAGATGCGGCAGCTGGCAGTCCTCTTTGAGTCTATGTTTCCGAAATTGCAGCTGGATGAATTATGCACGTCTAAGGGAGCATCATTGCAGCAGGATTGGAGAAGGCTTTTAGAGGATATGAGCTCGGTTCGGCGTCAAGAATGCAACTCCTAGTCACCATTCGGATGCATAGCGAGGTGAGTGATGTTGATTTGCTTGTTTCATCCAATATATAGTCAATGCGAGCCCTATAGATCTGGTCTGCTGGCATAGCATTAACGTAGTGAATATATAACAATTTTACAACGTAAAATCAGCGAGTGTTGACGTATATACGTTGTCTCGAGATCAAATATAAATATCGGTGTATAGACATGTATCGTACAGGGCTAATTTGCTTATTGAAATCAATGGCTTCTATCTTCAACAATGTCGGTAGACGATTATGTACATAGTAAATCATCACCGGCCGCTGCTTTCGACAAGCACATAGTAGGACCAATCCATCCAAGGGCTTGGCATTGTTATTTCTCCTTTCAGATCGAGCCCATAGACTGATACATGGGGATCTACAACCGGCGCTATTCAGAAAGTCATGATCTAACAGGAAGCCAAAAACTGATATTCACAGAGGAAGTAGTAACGAGTGTAATGATTCTCCCTTCTGCCTTAGCCTGGCATCATAGTATTAGTATGTTGACATCCGATGTGTAAATTAGGCTTGCCTTCTGGCGTACAAGGTTCATGATTTCTGTCATGATCTCCCAGCGACGCTGCTATTATGTTAATATGTCAGATCAGAACACCCGCGGAGCCATCGAGGTAAAATTCACATATAGGCCTACTTACCGTTTCCTTGAGTTTGGTCCTATATCAGTATTCACTAGCCTACACTATTATCATATAAGTGCTGATACACAGACCCATGAGATGACTTGCAGAGAGTTGGGGTCCTTCCCAGGTGAGTACCGTAATGCAGTGTTGCCGACTAGTTTGCCGTTTTCATCTGGCACAACATAGTACTCACCCACCAGAATAGGCCGCAAGTGGCCACTCACATCTTCTGCACCATCTATGCCATCCATCCTTTTAGTTTCGTCACAATGCCTCCTATTTCGTTGTTTTGTCCCAGCCGGCTGATCGCGACTGCCATCATCATCCTCAACGTCGTCGCTCTGTGGGAATTTGGGCATGCACAGCCTTCGTGTCACTCACCCTCGGCGAGCGCATGAGGCTTGGAGCTCTTACGAGATGACAATACACCTCGTCTCAGTATTGTCGATCTGCACACTATCAATCCTCGTTCAGTAGCCCTTCTCAACCCCCCTCGACGCCACAACACCATTATCCATGAGACTGCTTGTCTTTTACCGCATTCAAGGACGATGGGCGGACGCATGCTGCGTGTTCAATTCAGCATAGTGTTCTCGTAACTGTTGTATCGTATGCTTCACATTCATCATTCTTTCGACGCCATCGAAAAGCACGCGAAAGGCATTGGAATTGTGCGATAAGACTTGAAATAACACAATGTAAGAATCTAATATTTTTTCATAGATGAAAGTAGCCTTTTACCTTTCCAAAGCTACCAAAGGTGCATTTATCAAGCCTTCCACTAGGCCATAAAGTTAGTTTTCTTGAATCTCGCATAAGGGCTCTGGAGACCCCTCGTTTCGAGTCACCCTCAGTTCATCACGTTGAGTTCCTGGCTTGTGGTACGGCACTCGGGGTCTCCGTATTCGCCCTCAAGGTACCAATTCCTTACCCTGCGCACGCAGATACCTCTGTCCTTTCTTGTCGTTTTCCCTTCCCGCTACTCTCTAACCATGTTTCGTTCGTAGGTTATCACAGTGCCCCTAGGGCCCGCGTATATTCAGGTGCGAGCTCGGCGCTCAAACCGGGCTTGGCGACATGTAGATATCATGGTTTTTTTTTTCTGGTAGAGCGTCTAGATACGAGCGCTCGTATCTGGTCTTTGACAAGCGGTGCAATGGCCCTTCCCAACCCGCTGGGGGTATCCAGGGATTAAAACCTAGGCTTGACGCAGACGTCACGGTTGACTTGCATTAGATGCACTGCCGGCGGCGTCAATTCTTGTTGCTAGTGTCAGAATCTCTTTCTCTCATCTTTAATGGCTCTTTAAGGTCTCATTATCCGACTCAGATGGCTCCTCATCGCGCTCTCCAGTGCAGCGATATACTTTGTGAGATCTTCCAGCATCTCTGCGCTCTCAGATTTGGCGAGGCCAAGCACCTTCAGTATACTTTGGCGCAAACTGCACGGGTCAGCAAGTTGTTCTCGCAACATGC